TAGAATTGTTAAATTATTCTTAGTGTTTTCTCTGTGTAAAAACAATATGCAAAGTACAAACAGGTTCTCTTGATCCATAACATAACATCACATATTTTTAAATACCAAGAAACATAATTAGTTATAACACAGACCATTTACCTTTCACCATGGAAGCAACTTTGTCATAGCCTGAAATATTAGTCTAGATAATATTTGGACAGGAGATTAGATTTACAAAGAACAAGCCCTTAATATATTAATGAATCCATGCCTCAGCTATGCCATTTGTTCCTTCTTAATAAGCAAACTTCATTATCATGAACTTTAGTTCACAGTATGGCTGCTAACCAAGGTGTTGTATGCACAGGATAAAAATTACTAGTGGTCATTAAATCTTGGCACTTGGGCAGAGTGTGGTGTCCTAGATGATTTTGAGGGCATCAGCTACTGAGTGGAGGCACTTCTGCTTAGAGACTAGCAGGTGTGTTCTGGTATTCGTCTGGCATTTGATAGGTAGATGTGAAGGTTCACATTAGCCTTTTGCAGATATGTGTTTCAGGTCTGTATCCAATTCACTCAGAAGCTGTGCCATAGCACTGGGCAGAAGGTACTTTAAAAGCCCATTCTGTACTAAGAGTCCCTGAAGACACCCTTACTAGTGTTAATTTCATAAGGCTCAATGCTAGGCATGTTAAGAGGCCTAGACAAACCATATATTATGTGATTTTCTTTGCTGCAACCACAGGTTGCAGGAAAGAAAATAGCTTGATTCCCCCAGGAACACAATCAGATTTTGATGGGGGAATCCATCCCGCAGCGCTATTGTGTTCTGCCTGCAGGGAGCCTTCCCGTGCTGGCAGAACACAATGAATACTGCTGGCAGCTATAGCTGCCAGCATTAATTGAATGCAAAAAATCCAGCAGGCTGGTTGTACTGAAGTCGATCAATTGGCAACCAGCCTGCCCATAGATGGATAAAATCTTGGCAGGTCCCTGTTGAACAATCTATGTCTGGTTTTCACTCACTGAATCCCATAAGTAGTCCAATCTAGTCAGTAATTGGGGATTTATCTCTAATTGGATTTACTTTAGGAAACATCTCAAAAAAATATATTGTTTGAACCTAATGTTCAGGGACAGTTTCTAATTTTCCAGTTTTCCAGCTATATGGATTGAGTGCCAGGAAACTTTTGTAATATTTACAAGATTGCCTCAACCACGTGCATCTAGTTCCTGCTAGATATTATAAGTAGGAAAGGCCATTCAACCAAAATGCACCATTGAGCTACCTAATTTTTTTTAGCTATATGGCGTTCATGCATTGTCTCTTTTCTGTAGAGGTTTCCATCGACTGAGTTACAATAAATAATTAATATTAGTTAAGAGTTATTTTATGAAAGTGCTTCTCATGTAGAGTATTTAGACATTTGATCCTCACAAGTGTAGCATTTGATATATTCCAGTACATAAGGAGTTTAGAATCTAGAACTGTGTTGTGTTTTCAAATACAGGGTAGAGTAAATAATAGAAAACTCCATTTATTGTGACTCCAAACTAAGCAACCTGATGTTTACTAGATACATATAGTATATAGTAAAATCTTAAAAAATCCTAGCAGTTAGAGCCAGTCTGCTACCCAGCTACCTAACCATGGATGTGGCTGTGTCATGGCTAGAAATCTTCACCACGGCTATTCAATAAGTGAGTGGATTTTATTTAGGCAGGAGGCTTGGTGTGTCCCGTACCTATACTTTTTATGCCTGTTTTCAACTTTTATTGTACTTTTCTGTTTAGCTGCATAACATTTATGTTTAGATAAAACAGATTTAAAAAAAAAAATCAGATTTTTTTTACAGAGAAAGCTAGTTACTAGGAAAGTTGTTTCAACTTACCCCACAGCACCCACAGCATTTGCAATCTCCACAGATCGTCCCTATTAATCCATTGATAGCTTGTATAGCACAGAGTACAGCTTGTACCCCACCCATGATTAGAAGCATACAGAAGAGGGTCAGATTCCAGGTTATGGTGGTTTCTGTATTTACTTCATATTTATCCTCCGTATATTTTAAACATTTTTCCCACAATGTATGGTTTCCAAGGTAATCCCTTAAAAAAATTGTCAAAATTAAAAACAGCCTTATTTTTCAAAAACAAATCCATATACTGTACAGTACATGAATGAATTACTGATGTTTAAAGCAGATTTAGTAATGTCATCTTGTTTGCTCTAAATTTATGAACCCCACTCATACTATAAGAAGGTCATTCAATCAAAATGCACCATTGAGCTACACCACTTTTTCATTTCTGCCTGTGTATGGAGCATGCATCCTAACAAGGACTTATTTTGAAATAACTAATCTGTTGGCAATGGTTGATCAAACCCCTGTATAAGCACAAGGGGCCTCTTAGATTCTGGAGTTCATTAAAAGCAGGGGCCACTACTGTTTGTAAAAGGTCCAAAAACCTCTGGGGCTGGTTGCCATCTGAGGTACCTGCAGAGAGCTTCAGGTCCTGCTCTGTAGGTGGATTGATCTCTCCCCAATAGTGTAGTTCCAGCACCAAAATCAACTATAAAATGGACTCCTGTGCTGCTTTCATTGGTTTTCCTTCAGGTAAGTAATTGCTGAACATTATTGAATGAGGGCCTTTTTCTCATTGATAGGGGTCTCCTGCCACTGACCATCAACAAAATGGAGATTTTCACCATGATTACCAACATAAGGAAGGTTGTTACATTGACCATTATTATATCAGGCAACAACGATCCATTATCTTCTGCGTTCAAAGACTCAGATCAAACGGGCATTAGTACAAACAGCGTGTGTTCATCCGCTGGTGATCAGAGGTTGTGCAGCTCTATCATGAAGCTGGGGAAGCTTGACAAAACTGTAGAAGAAGATGAAAGAAAGAGCGCAAAAACCTTGTGCATTACGTCAATAAATAGTGACTAATTTTATTTTATTTAGTAAATATACTCACAAAAGTGATGGGTAAAACAGGCATAAGTAAACCATAACCCACAGAGGGTTACAGGTAAATCCAAAAGGGGGGGGGGGAATACAAGCTAACACTTTTTGAAGGGTGCTCCCTTCTTCATCAGGGTATTACAGCAGAATAAACAGGCTGAAATGCTGTAATACTGACACTCAGTGGCTGAATGTCTCCTTGCCATGGGAACTCTGCTATACTGAAGTTTCTATCTGCCAAACCCAGCTCTGATGAAGAAGGGAGCGCCCTTCGAAGCGCGTTAGCTTGTATCCCCCCCCTTTGGATTTACCTGTAACCTGTGTGGATTATGGTTTACTTATGCCTGTTTTACCATCACTTTTGTGAGTATATTTCCTAAATAAAATTAGTGACTATTTTTTGAGGTAATGGGCAAGGTTTGTGCGCTCTTTCTTTCATCTCCTTCTACATTATTATATCAGGGCCATGGGTGGTCAGTGAAGAATGTTTTTTGACATTGGTGGTAAGTGCAAATAGCCCCATTAATGGAGATTTTGCACTGACCACCAATGTAATGTGGGCATTTTCACGAACAACCAGGTTAACAAGGGGATTCTGCAGTGGCCAACAATGTGAGGGGGCATCTACATTCACCGCCACTGTGACAGGGTCATTTTCACTGAATAATAATGTGATGAGGGGCAATCACAGTTACCACAAATGTAATTGGGGTACACTGATCACCAATTTCACAACTGATTTCTGTACCAAGCAATAATGTAACAGTTGCATATAAACTGACAAATTATCAATGGCATTTACACTCACCACCAGTGTTTCGTGTGAATTTACACTGAATAATAATGTATTAAAGGACATTTACCGTATAGTAACCACAAATGTACAAGAGCTTTTATATACAGCCATTTTCTGGATGGGGGGTTTACATGGACGGGGCTGAACATTAGAGGGGCGTGGTGATGTGTGAATATGAGTTAGTTTACGGGGGGGGGGGGCGGGCAACTGATGTTTGAATATGGGTCTAATGTTGTCTGAATATATGGTGTGTTACCTTAGGCTTGACTAGTGGAATATGAATATGATGGTGCTTGACGGGTATAATGGTAGTTGGTGTCTGAATATAATGGGTCTGGATGTGAGGGGGCTGCAACTTGGTGAAGGGGGCTTGAGGTAGCTGAATATGAAGGGCTGCATATTAGGAGGTTGTAGGGACTACACATGAGAAGGCTAGTGATGGTTGAATATAGGAGGGACTACACATGAGGGGAACCAGTTGTGGATAAGGCTGGAGATGAGCTGCTCTGTCATATACTAAATGGTTGCAGTGTGATAATCTGAATTGCTTTTGCCACATAAAATAGTTTTGTTGCATGATGTGGACATTTTCTTTTAGCTGTTCAGTGGCACGTTCTCTTAAAATATTGCCCAGCTTTGATGGTGCCATGAAGATTGGTCCAGCCACCGCAGGCACAATTTTCATTGCTGGATCACCATTCCCTACACCTGAAAACAACACCAGGGAGGGATACAGACAGAAAACTTGAGTGAGTTTTTTTAGAAAAATCTTGTGATTGTGTAAGAAGGGAGTGGGATGGGTGGGACTCTAGTTTGCCCAGGGATAGGCTTTAATTCCATTATTTATTTGATGGAAAAGTTTGCAAACATAAATATGATTTAGGAGGGGGGTTTTTTTTGCATTAAACTAGCATTTAACTGTTAAGCTTTATTTTCTCATAAAATCATTATTTTATCTTGCAGCTGAGTACACTATAATATGTAATTATTTTCAGTCATGTGTCAGCTGTCGCTGGTTCTCATTGCTGAAAATAACATTCATTATACCATTCAGCATCTAATTTGCTGTTATGTGTTCATGCTATGACAATAAATGAAAGTAAACAGAGAACAGAAAAATATATAGGCAAAATACAAATAAATTCTGATAATGTATCTTTCTTATTTTTTTAAATGTTTCTATATTTTAATTTCATTTTCTTATTTTATCTTTCTAATATCACACTTATATGGACAGTATTAATTTAAGCCTACCCATCATTAAAAGGATAATCCCAGATATATTGTTGATCCTGACTTTTAAAAAAACATATTGGTCCTTTATTGATAGCCACTGCAGAAACAATAAAATTATAGCCGGCTCCGACAAATCCAATAGCAGCAAAGAGGATGGAAGAAAAACTCTGCAGGGAAATAAAAAAAGACAGAGGTTTATCAAACTTTCTACTGTCAAATAGCAAAATTGTCAATATGTAAAGTAATGGCTTAAAAATTCTTGCAAGTGAACAGAGTATAAAAAAAGAAAGATTAATTGTTGCAGATTATAGTTGCATTTTAACCACTTGCCCTCCAGAAGAGTTACCCCCCCTTCATGATCAGGCCATTTTTGAGATATGGTGCTGCATTATTTTAACTGACAATTGTGTGGTCATGCAACGCTTTACATAAATTAAATTTATGTAATTTTCCCCCACAAATAGAACTTTCTTTTGGTGGTATTTGATCTGCTCTGCGTTTTTTATTTTTTGCGCTATAAACAAAAAAAAGACCGACAATTTTGAAAAAATAAATATTTTAGACTTTTTGCTATAAAGCATATTAAACAAAAAAATCTTAATAAATTTATATTAAAATTTATTTTGCGACATGTCTTTGGTAAAAAAACAAATTCCAAAAAGTGTATATTAATTAGTTTATTTAAGGTACTTATATAGCGCTGTCAATTTACACAGCGCTTTACATATATATTGGACATTCACATCAGTCCCTAACCCTCAAGGGGTGTACAATCTAAGGTCCCTAACTCACATTCATACATACACATACTAGGGCCAATTTAGACAGGAGCCAATGAACCTACCAACATGTCTTTGGAGTGTGGGAGGAAACCGGAGTACCCGGAGGAAACCCACGCAGGCACAGGCACAACATGCAAACTCCAAGCAGGAGGTGCCGTGGCTGGGAATCAAACCAACGACCCTAGTGCTGCCAGGTGGAAGCGCTAACCATTTAGCCACTGTGCTGCCTTTACAAATGGCGGTATATAAACTGTGATTTTTATTTATTTATTATACTGGTAATGGCGGCGATCAGCGACCAATAACTGGACTGCAGGACAACAGCAGGCATTCTGATACTAACTGACACTGGGTGGGAACTGACTAACTGCCACTGATATCTCCAGTGACACTAATACAGTGATCAGTGCTAACAAAAAGCACTGACAATGTACTAATGACACTGAGCAGGATCAAAGGGTTACCAGTGTACTCTTTTGTGTTTACTGTGCGATGTTTTACTAGGGGACATGCTGCTTTCTACCTCTCTGCTTTTGTTGTTTACACAAAGATCTCTCCCCTGTCTTCTTCTCTGCCGATCACCGAGTACCGGCCATGAATCGCTGGCTGGGACCCGGTGATTGACATCTTCAAGGGCCAATGACAGGGTGGGTAGGGCGGCGCACACACGCACGTCCTCCAACCTGGAAATGCAAAATCACGTATTTATACGCGATTATGCACAGAGTGGCCGCTCTGTAGCAGTACATCTGCTAAAGGGTGGTCCTTAAATGGTTAATGAGTGAGGTTTAAGCTCCATCCTGTCCTGTTTAAAGTGTTATTAAACCCTATAAATCATACAGTACTTGTCCACTTGCCTACCAGGAAAATTTTAATTTTTCACATACATGTTACAATCTGCATTATTTGTAGAAAATTACTTAGAACCCTCAAACATTATATACTTATCTGAAAGCAAAGGCCCTGGAGAATAAAATTGTGGCTGTTGCAATGTTTTATGTCACCTGATATTTGCGCAGCCATTATTAAACAACTTTTCAGGAAAAAATACACATAAATTAATTTTAATGCACACAAACACTATATAATACCCAATATTTTGTAATGTATAAAATGTGGTGCTGCGCCAAGTACATAGAAACCAAACATTCAAGATTTAAAATTGTTAACGCCTGTGAAATGGAAACAAACTATGGTACCTAAAATTGTCCATAGGTGACACTTTTAAAACCTTTACAGGTTATCAGTTTAGAGTTAAACATGAGCTAGAGGACTAGAATTATTGCTTTCACTCTGACATTTGCAGCCATCTCACGTGTGGCGCAATCACCATTTACATAGCAGTGCAAGACCTATGTACACGTTTGCGTTTGCATGCAAGCATGGGAGGACAAGGGTGCTTTTAAATTTTATTATAATATATTTAACATTTTTTTGCACAAGGTTAACAAGTCCCTTGTGATACGTTTATGAGTTAAAAGGTACCCATTACTGAGACATCAGGAGTCTATTAGACACTTCATCCTAGATTGTAAACTCCAAGGAGCAGGGCCCTCTAATCCCTCTTGTATTGAACTGTATTGTTACTGTACTGTCTCCCTCCCTAATGTAAAACGCTGAGCAAACTGCCGGCGCTATATAAGTCCTGTATAACAATCATAATAATATCTTTTTTGTCCTTCAAAGTATTTGATCAAACACACAGATCAAGTGATCAGGCAACTGTAGAGTTGGAAAACTCCTTCTAACAAACCACATATATTTCTGTATAGAGTAATATAAAATTTGCTATTGCTCACCCACTGAAAGTAATCATTGTATATATTGAAAACGATGTACAGGAAAAAAAAGCTTACCCATGTTTGTATGTACTTACTGCAAATCTCTTGCCACAGCTTTCATTGCCACAGCACCCACAGCAGTCATTTTTCTTCATGCCCAAAAATACCAGAGCAGGAAAAATCATCTATAAAATGGAAACCATTGGTGAAACAATTTGTGATGCAGAGGTCTGACTATTTAAATAGAATATTTGCATATTACGGTTTGTGCATTGTAATAGGAGAGATTTCATCTCTCAGTCTTTCACTGTTGCCAGTTGTCCTGGACTGTAACGTCCATTAGGGTTACATGTGTAGTTATAACTAATAATTGTGAAAATTAACCTAGAAATACTCCTGAGGGTGCTGCCCAATTTCCTTTTATTATTATTGAGTGTAAAATAAACATATTGTTCTGTCCTTAATTTTTAACGCACCTTTGACTTTTTTTTGCATACTAAAAGTCCCTCAAAGAAAATCTAGATATATCCTCGGTATATACAGTATAAATATATATGTCTCAGAGTTGATGGGCCAATGATTTCAGCACTGCAGGAGCCACTCAGCAGCTTTAAATCAAATAATTTATTGAAAATTATGTAAAAAATAGAGAAATAATACATAAACTTAGTGTGAAATGAGAGACGTATACATACAGCTAGGTATTTTACTCTGTATTGGGAAGAATACTATAAATGAAGAACAGCCTAACTTACTCAGTAAATAATTATAGTTTTTACCAGGTCTGTCAGTGCAGACAGACTTCTACTGGTCAAGAGCTCTAGCAGGGTGCAAGCCATTTAGCTTTCTTCAAGGGATGCAAGTCATTAATCTTTCTTGAAGAGGGGCAAGTCATTTAGCATGCTCTCTGCAGTGTATATCATAGCCGACTGCCATTTTCTTCAAGAAATACAGTTTTCCCCTTTTTTACCCCATGCTGAATCTCTGCATTGCTGATCTCCTATAGCCCCTTTCAGTGATTCTCTGTCTAAATGTACTTGCTAGAGCATTAGCTGCATTTCATTACTCCGACCCCGCTTCCTGATGGAACATGCCTGCACAATGTTTGTCAGTATGGCTGGTTAAAGTCTTCAGCAGAGATGCATGTGACAGGGTGATGATGCAAGAACATAAGTGGGAGACAAGGGAAGAGTGTTGTTACCCCGTGGAAGTGACTGGACAAGGACCTTCCTGGAAGGTCTGGGGACTATTTAAATAAAAGTTCCTGGTTTGAAAATATTGAAAACAACTTCTGAAATGTCAATAACATGTTAAGGCTTTTATGAAATGTTAGTGTTTGGATTTAGATCTGTTTTAGGCAGTATGGTCCACCTCCTCCTTACCTCCCCTGTTTTAGCATAAACCTGGTAATTTGTTGGATATCTAAATGTCCAAAGACTGATACATTAGTGACTCAAAAATATTTAAAATATGTAAAACATTGCACCCCTGTTGGTTGTCCACATATACAAAATTTCATATCATTTTCAGAAGTATAAAATAATTCCCACTAAATTGTATCATCAAAATGGCATTATGTAGATTTTTTTTTTCTTCCTGAAATGAGTATTTAGCTAGTATCTATTTAAGGCATTACCAATTTATCTCTTATAGGAATTGTATCTATATCTCACATGGTTATATTCTCTATTTTTAACTGCAAAGATTAAATAAAAATGAGTCCTGCGCTACCCCCACATGCCATAAATGTGAGTCAGAACAAGGGGGCTTTATGTATATGGTTTGGTCATGTATTAATGTCAGAACGTTTTGGTCTGAGATTACTGTGTTCATTTCAGTTAATGTTTTCTCCCCAATGTCTGTAGCCCTAATCGGAGTCTTCCCAGGGTATTTGATGATATTGAGGTGACTGCTAAAGCTAAACAATTCTTACGAATAGTGCTCTATTACGCCAGGAAGGTCATTGCATTATATTGGATACGTTCTGTCCCCCTATACATCGGTTTGTGGAAATGTTTATTAATCAGAACTTCCCACTTTACAAGCTAACTTTTGAGGTGAGGTAAGTTCCAGGGAAGTTTACTAGACTCTGGGGACCCTGGCTGGACACACAAGACACCAGTGACTCTCTTCTACATTTAGTTTCTGACCCTATAACTTAGTTACCTTCCTTGCTACTACCCCCTTTTGGGCTGGAGGTAAGAGTGTCTTATGACATTTAGGAAAGTAACTAGCATTGTACACTTTTCATATTTTTTCTTTTAGTAACATTTTGTGGGGATGGGCACCTGCGTAAATAGACTCAATTTAATAACATACATGAGTGCAGGATTCTTATGTCCAATTGCTTACTCTAGTTTTTGTTGTTGCATGTTTAATGTAAGTTTTTTTCTTCCTGTTTGATCATTTTGATGTGCATATACGTGAATGTATCTGTTTGTTGCTTCAGTATGTGCGGAATTTACAGGCTTTGATACTCCAGTGCTGTGACAATTCCCTTTGTATACGTTGTTTGTTGGACAGCACTTCGCCTCTGTATTGGCTTGACAAGTGTAATTTGTATGTGCAATTTTTTTTCAATAAACTAAGTTTTAAAAAAATAAAAAAGATTGTGGTAAATTAATCTGATCCATGGGGCAATGGGGTTGATTTTCGAAAACTGGAGAGTGCAAAATCTGATGCAGCTATGCAAAGAAACCAATCAGCTTCCAGGTTTTTTTTGTCAAAGCTTAACTGAACAAGATGACGTTAGATGTTAATTGGCTAACATGAACAGCTGCGCCAGATTTTGCGCTCTCCAGGCTTAGTAAATGAACCCCAATGTGTTTATTTGCTAAATAACAAATAACCCCGTTTATGAAAATTCTACATGTAATATGCTTTTGTGAATTGAGCTTATAGTCAGCTGCAAGCACCCTATAGTTTGTGTTATTGTTGCTTTGTTATTGCTATGGTATGATGAGAAAAATCATGCGAAGACCCTATGCATTATTAAACAGCTGCTGCTTACATAGGTCTTTAGTTAAGGTCTTCTTTATTTCAGAAAGCCTCCTAAAATCCTTATCATTCCTTTAATCTGTAGCTTAACAAAGGTTTCACAGTTCATACATATTGGTATATTGTGCTCTACTCACCAGCAGTCCAGATCCCAACAGTCCACCAAGGTAGAAAACTTCCCTTGATATGTGATCATTGCTCTTTGCAACCTTTCCAGCAGGAAAAAACAGTAAGATGTTGGCCAGTAGACATATAGAACAGCTAAAGGAATGAGAGTAATGCCCAGGCACTTGGCACAACCTCCTGTACACATCTTTGACCTCAACAAGTAACTGGCCTTTATATATCAAAAAGTCGCCACTTATAAATTATTGCTCTCCTCCTGTGAAAGACAGTATACTGTTATCCACAACTGAAAAGCTATTGTCTGTGGTTTTATGGTGACTTGCCAATTTATATGTCCCACAGCGTGTGGATAAAATTCTATGACATAATGCTCTGAGCAATAGTTTGTCATGACAACTAATAAACCCTGTTAATATTCTACTTAAGGATCCAGGACAGACACATAGACTTTTCTTTTGTCTTACAACATGAATTTATAATGCTTCCTCAAAAGTCACACAGCAGTATTGTATTGATGCAACAAACTCAAAAACCTGTAGATTTTGACATTTCTTTTGGGTCCACTGTACATAAATTTACATTTTTTTGTTTTCTATTGACTTCTAATAGTTTTGCTAAAAAAAAAATGTAAAAATTAAACTGTTAGATTACAGGCGTACCTCGGTTTACAAAAGCCTTGGTTAACGTAATTTTTGGTGTACAAATGAAAATCCATTGAAGATAATGCCGAATTTCTTCGCAAAACAAAGCAAGTTTCCTCAGGATGCATTGTGCCTGCGATATTTATAGCGCTGGCCCCGTGCCTTTAAAGTGCACTTTATAAAGAGTTTTGAACAGATAAGACTTTTATTTTACTTTTTCTGACCTCCAGAATGAATTAATTGGTTTTCAATTCATTTTACAAATTTTTTTCACAATACGAAGCAAGTTTCCCTAGGATGAATTGCGCCTGGGAGGTTTATAGCGCCGGCCCTGTGCATGCTGGAGTCTGTGGGTAGCACATGGCGTCAAGTGTAGAGGTGTTGGATCGAGTTTTGGAGCCAATCTGGAAATTTTTAATCATGTCCCTGTACAGTATTTATGCCTTTAAAGTGCAGTTTATAAAGAGTTTTGAACAGATGAAAGACCTTTTTTTTTTACTTTTTTCTGACCTCCAGAACAGATTAATTGGTTTTCAATGCATTCCTATGGGAAACCGCATCTCAGTTTATGAATTTTCCACAATACGAAACATTTCAGAGAACGCATTAAATTCGTAAACCCAGGTACGCCTGTACTTATTTTTTGACTGCCTGGTCATTAAATACGGCACACGTACAAAACTGTACTGAAAACAGTAACATTCAATTTTTAGATCTCAAATGTCATTAAAACAGGGCCAATGAGAAAAAAATATTTCAGACACTTTTACAATATCAATTTTTATCACAAAAGGAAACATTTTTGTAATTCCAAGGTAGAGAGAAAAGCTTTCTTACTAGATAAGCTGTAAACAAAGCACAGACGCTTATGTACCCTTAAAGGATAAGTTCACCTTTATAAAATAATAAATTCACATCTTTTTTAGGTAAAAAAATGTGCATTTAATATTTTTTTTATTAGGAGTCTGTAAAGCATTGCACCCAAGATCAGCAGGTGCAATTCAAGGCTCCTGCAGACTATCAGTGTAGTTGTTTCACACCTCATACATGTAAGTAGTTACTGAATGACAGAAAGAATCAACAAAGTACCTAGAGTGCTCATCAGCACCCCAGTAGTTTATTGAGAACTACAAGCCTTGAGCTGCAATGGCTGATGGTAGTTGTAGTTCTCCCATTCACAGAACTATGTGAATGAAGGACACAGCCGGGTGGACAGAGCCCCACGTAGCCACATTTTTTAAAATTGTGACAGCTGGTGCAAGGAGAAGATCCCCAGGCTGTTTTCACAAGGGGGGGGGGAGAGGGGCTCGGGATGGGAATTTCCTACTCATCTTGTACTATTCATTAAACATGTGAGCAAGTAGGCACATTAAATAAAAGCTATAACAAATCTCTCCACAAAAGACCAAAACACACAATGGGCAACACAGTGGCTAAATGGTTAGCACTTCTGCCTGGCAGTACTAGGGTTGTTGGCTCGAATCCCATAATCCTCAGGAGACCACCAATTTCTCTCACCATACACATAATTGTGCTCTATCCTGTGTATATATATATATATATATATATATATATATATATATATATATATATATAAGGACATGAGACTGTATGCTTTTTATTGCAAATGTATTGTATTACATGTTTAAAGAGCAACAGTATCTTTAAAAGAAGAAAAAAGAATCCTCATATTTGGTGAATTCTTTGAGTTCTACACTATCCAGGTGAGTTAGAGACCTTAGATTGTACGTCTCTTGAAGTTTAAGGACTGCTGTACAATATATATACAGTACACACATGTAAAGGGCTGCATAAATTGATGGTGCTATATAAGTACCTGTAATAAATAATCCTGATGTACTAAATTGCATATACAGCAGGTCTTGAAAAAGCTGCTCGCCCGCTCGCCAAATGCAAGGAGAAATTCCTCTGTGGCGACCGGCGAGCAGCTGCGAGCGGTGAGCACAGATGAAGAAGCATGGAGCGACTGCACTCATTGTGAAGCCGAGTTCCAGTTTACAACTTCCAGTTTCCACGGCATCACCATTAAAGTGGCAGCACCGCTGAGGGGACACATGCAGGAGAGGTCCGCTCTCCTATGCTGAGAGGAGACACCCTCCCCACCGCAGCGCGGGACTCGAGGCCCACTCTCCACCGCCGTGGGGGACACGAGGCCCGCTCTACACCTCCATGGGGGACACTACATCGCCATTAAAGTGGCAGCGCCGCTGAGGGGACACATGCAGGAGAGGTCCACTCTCCTATGCTGAGAGGAGACACCCTCTCCACCGCAGCGGGGGACTAGAGGCCCGCTCTACACCGCCTTGGGGGACATGAGGCCCGCTCTACACTGCCTTGGGGGACACGAGGCCCGCTCTACACCGCCTTGGGGGACACGAGGCCCGCTCTACACCACCTTGGGGGACACGAGGCCCGCTCTACACCGCCTTGGGGGACACGAGGCCCGCTCTCCACCGCCTTGGGGGACACGAGGCTCACTCTCCACCGCCTTGGGGGACACGAGGCCCGCTCTACACCGCCTTGGGGGATATGAGTAAGGTTTGTGCCTGGCTAGTAGGTCTGAACTCGAAATTTTAACCCCTGATATACAGTATATGTAAAATGTATTTGCACTTCGTGAAAAACCTTGTAACCTTTTGAGTGCTGCTACCAAAACAGTTTGAATACTAAACTTGTAAAAAACATGACCCTTAACCTGGTGCGTTTCTCACCTTAATGACCTGAAATTAACAAAATATAAACAATCATACAACCATTTATATTTTAGAGTCCAATATGTTGTGTTGTTATTTAAATAGTGCAGTTCAAGAAATTGACTGCAAAAATAAAGTGCTCAATCCAACATAGATTCCAACAGTGAAAAGAGATCTTGAAAGTATAACATTGTGATTCCTCCACCAAATGAAAAAATCAGCCTCTTACCAAAAACATTAATCTCACTATCAAGAGATCAACACATGCCTGTGTGCTCTCAATGCTTCATACTCCTGACGATGCTGATTGGTGGTGAAACATGTTGGCCTAGCTGGTGACGTCACATGCATGCTGACATCAAGATTTCAGTGTCTGATTGTTATGCGCTTTGATTCATTAAATTTTCTTTTAGCATATGTCTGCTTTTTATAATAATAACAGTTTTTATGATATAACACCATTGCAGCTCCTTTGACCTTCTCTCCAGAGGGATATTGCATCTGCACAATTAGAAGGATTCCTTCTTTTATCTGTTGAGATAGGAAAGGTTGAGATGAGAACTAGATTGCATGTTAAGAATCCTCTTATCCAGATCTCCACTTTGATAAAATCTGGGGCCTTTGGACCTGTTCCCCTTTTGCAGCCTAACCCTAACATAATCCTCAGGAGACCACCAATTTCTCTCACCATACACATAATTGTGCTCTATCCTATACATATATATATATGTATGTAAGGAAATGACATGAGACTTTATGCTTTTTTTTGCAAATGTATTGTATTACATGTTTAAAGAGCAACAGTATCTTTAAAAGAAGAAAAAGAAAAAAAGAATCCTCATATTTGGTGAATTCTATGAGTTCTACACTGTCCAGGTGTAGATTCCCTGGATCCTGGCTGTACACTACTAGAAAGTTAGAACAAACTCATATCTATGTAAATGTGAGTTTTAGCTCATGCAAAACGGTTACTGCATATTACTCAAATGCTGTGAAACCTACAGTCATTTTTTTTTTTTTATTTTTTTATATTTATTTTTTTACTTATTGTGCAGTTTTTGAGGCCCCTGCATGCAGTAGTCAATATTTTCCCTTCTTAGGTGCTTACTTAAGCAAGTGAAGAGAAACTATCCTATTTTTTTCTGTGCGGTCCATTCTTTTTTATCATTTAATTTTCTTTGGGTTTTTTTTTAGTTTTTTTTTCTGACTTTTTAAAATGGATCTTGCTGAGAGAAGATGTAGTTGCACCACTAATTTTTAAGGTCCCTCTCACAAGTGTAGACCATTTGTCTGTTTTTCATCTATCTATTGACGGATAAAAATGGAAATCAATGCATCTCTATGGAAAAACAGATGTAAACGGATGATCATCCATTTACATCTGCATCCATCAACATTAAATTTTTGAAACTGATCAAAGCCCTATTTTTGTTCTGTTAAAAAACAAAACAGACGAAAAATAGATGTAAACAGACAAGTGGTCTGTTTTTGCATTGGTAGTGAATTTAAAAACTGATGTAAAAACTGGCGCAATATTGATTGTAAACTGATGAAAAACTGATGTAAATGATACCTGATTTTTCTTTGAAAAACCGTGACTGAACTGATGAAACAAATGGTCCGCCTGTGTGAACGGGGCCTTAGGTTGGGGGCACAAATGTGAAAGCACGGCTGTAATAGCAATAGTTATGTCTAGCAGTTTCATTTAATATGCCTCCAGTCTATGACTCTCCTGTAGTACAGTATGTCCCCGGTCTCTTACTTTACTCCTATAGCATGTTGCTGTTGCATGTCTGCACTTTCTGAAGGCATTCTGTAGCATTGCATTCA